TGTACATAGGGTTGCTATGAGTCGCAAACGACTCAACAGCACATAACAACAATATGAAGAATGAGAATATTTTATGCTCATGTAGAACCTGTGTACAGAGCCTGTAACTCTGTATAAGAGGCAGTTGTAGGGAGCTCTGGTGGCCTAATGGCAAAAGCTGGACTGCAATCCCAAAGGCAAGCAGTTCGAATCCACCAGTTCCTCTGCTGAAGAAGGAGGGGCAATCTCCTCCTGTATCCGTCGGATCTGGTTCAGTGGTACACACACACAAAATAATAAAATAAAAAATAAGATTTTTTTTAAAAAAGAGGCAGTTGTTCCGACTGAACAGGGAAATATTACATGGTTTAAAATCAGGAAAGCTGTGAATCGGTGTTGTGTTCTTTAACCGTGCTTATTCACCATCCCATATACTGAGCACGTAATCCAAGAAGCTAGACTATCTGAATTTTAGGAATACTTATTAACAACCTATAATATGCAGAGGACTCAACCTTGTTTATGAAAGCAAGTATGATTGAAGCACTTACTGATGGGTATCAAATTGCAGCCTTCAGTATGGACTATATATCAACATAACAAAAACACCAATCCACCTCATTATTAATACTGGGCATGTGGTCAGGAGAGATCAGTCCTTGGAGAAGGACATCATGCTTGGAAGGGTGAATAGACAGTACAGGAGAGGGAGACCCCGGGTGAGATGGATTGACACAGTAACTGAGGCAGTGGGGGTTAGTGTGTCGGAATTAGTGAGGCTGTCTCAGGACAGGGAAGGGTGCAGAGCTGCTGTACATAGGGTTGCTATACATCACAGGCACAATAACACAATGGCACATAACAACAATAACATATTATGACAGGTTTGAAAGCAGGAGTGGCATCTACTTCCTAAATAACATGCCTCCGGAAACTCTATGAAATTTGATAATTGTCAATAGTTGTAGAGGGGCTGCAGGCCTTTTGTCCATAGAGTCACTGTGAGTCGTGCTCGACTCGAAGGCAAGCAACAACAATAAACAATACCATGCTAAGTGGAGAAAGATTGAAGTTATCAAGAATTATCATTTAATCCACAGTCAATCCAAGATATTGTTGTTGTGTTATTGTCAGGTACCATTGAGTCAAGTACAAATCATAGCGATCCTGTGTACAACAGATCTGAACCCTGTCCTAGCCTGTGCCATCCTTATTTCTGACATACTTAAGTTCATTGCTTCAATCACTAAGTCAATCCATCTGGTTGAGGGTCTTTCTGTCTCTCACAGACCCTCCACCTTCCAAATGTGCCATCCCTCTCCAAGTAATTGCCTCTCCTAGCAACATGCCCAAAGTATGTGAGATGAAGCTTTGTCATCTCTGCCTCCAAGGAGCACTCTGGCTGTCCTTTCTCCAAGACATAATCATTCATACTCTTCTCCAACACCACAATTTCATGATCAAAAGTCCAAAGTACATAAGAGATCCTAATGTCTCACCATCCTTGTTCTAAGGAACACTGATTGTACTTCTTCCAAGATAGACTTGTTCATTTTTCTGGCAATTCATGATATATTCTATATTCATATTAACATCATAATCCAGATGTATCAGTTTTTCTTCAGTCTTCCTAATTCAATGTACAGCTTTTATATGCATATAAGGTGATTGAAACTACCATAGCTTGTGCCAGGTTTACCTTGGTCCTCAAAATAGCATCTTTGCTTGTTTACATTTTAAAAAGATTTTTGCTATCACAAGTGCCTAGTGTAATATGTCATTTGTTTTCTGGACTTAAGCTTCCATGGGTGTTGGTTATGGATCCGAATTAAATGAAATCCTTGACATCATATTTTTTCTCTATTTATCATAATGTTGCTTATTGATGCAGTTATAAAAAGGCTTTTGTTATCTTTATAATGAGGTGTAATCTGTAAGTGAAGAATGCAGTCTTTGTTCTTCGTCAGTAAGTGCTTCAAGTCTTCTTCAAGCAAATTTATGTCATCTGCATTTGACAGGTTGCTAAGGATTCTTCCCCCAATCCTGATGCTGTGTTCTTCAGATAGTATGTCTTCTATGATTATTTCCTAAGCATATACATTGAATTCAGAATGGTATAAGTGAGCAAATGTGAGCAAATATTCTAAATATGAGATCATAAAGGGATACATTATGTCAATACTAAAATAAATATACTTCTATTTTGTGATTTCTGCCTTAAAAATTGAATAAGGCATTTTGCAGCTTTAAAAAAATTTAACAGTATTTTTCTAAATATCACAAATGTTTATTAAGTATTTTCTATATGCTAACCATAAAATGACATTTATAGATTTGAGTTGTCTTTTCAGTCTCTGCCTAGAATTGTATTATGAGTATGCTATGATTTTAGTTCTCGGACTTTTCAGCCATATTGTAAGGGGGAATACTAAAAATTGATGGATATGGAACTAATTGAGGGTTCTGCTGATATTACAGTATGAAGTCAACAGGCTTCAAAGTCAGATTTTTCTCTGCTTCATGCATTATCGATCCATATATTTTCAGCTTATTGTCCCATATTTGAAAATAACTTTTTAAAGTTCTTTCTCTGTGGTATTAGTGATGAATTAAAAACTGTGATAATGAGGAGACAGAATCTATAACCCATTGTTGAGTGGATTCTAAAGTGACCTGGGGAAAAAGTGACTTGCTAGCTCCCTCCTTCCCTTAAGCATTTTGAAAGTGAGCTTACTTATTGGAGTGAAAACACTTAAGAAATCATGAGCTTTTGTTTCTTCTTCCATTCTCTTAATTTTTGTGCTTATATTTGGAAGATTTTTTTTCCAACTGTTAATTCCTTACTTCTTTTTTGTTTGATTATATATACCTCAGGGAATCCATAAATCACTTTATTGCAAAAATCCTTTAAAAATTGTTTAATTCTAGTTTTCCTTGTGCATATACCATCATAGTTGAGACATAGAGAATCATTATCATTAAAATAAAATCAGTTGGTTTTGTTTTTACTAGATCAGATAGAATCTTGAATGTACATTTTGACTCTGAAAAAGTACACTTTTCCACTTTGACACTGGAGGGCGCTCTGGTAGCCTAGTGAGTAGGGAGTTGCATCCCCAACTTAGAGGAAGATGGTTCAAATCCACCATTTATTCTGCTGGAGAAATATGGGTCATCTCCTTCTGTACAATTTATAGGCTCTGAAAACCCTCTGGAGGTTCAGCTAGAAGTCATTTCTGACTCAACAGTAGTGAGTATGTTATATATGCATATTGGCACTGGAAATAAATATACTACTTAATTCAGTTTATGAAAGTAATAGTTAACATGATACAGATAATCATTCTTTACATATATTCTTTGTAAACTCTAAAACGATTAATAATGGTGCCAGAATATTCTTTTTTGAAAGTGTTAGGATTATGTTGTGTCCCATCAAGTCAGAACCAACTTCTAGCTGACCCTCCCAGTGGATTTTCAGAGACAGTTAATGGTGTAGAAGGAGATTGCCCATCTCCTCCCAGGGAGCAGCTGGTGGATTCAAACCATGTGCTTTTGTGATTGCAGTGTATCTTGTTACCACTGAGTCACCAGAGCTATTATCCTATTAGGATAATAAGACATAATTCAGAGATTCTGATTTTTTGTTTAAAAATTATTAACTAGTACCAATTGCTGTCTACTCAATTCTGATTCATGGCAACCCCATATGTTCAGCAGTAAAACTGCCCCATTGTTTTCAGTGGCTGATATTTCAGATGTAGATTACTAGACCATTCTGTCACAGTTAGTTTTTCCATCCCTCCCCCTACATTTTTTGTTTTTTTCCTTTGAGGCACCTCTGTGTGGATTTAACCCTCCAACCTTTCTCCAACCAGTCAAGCATTTGGCAGAAACTAACTCCTCATAATTATGAAATATTCCATTTTGCCTACCAAGGGCATCTATTGATTTTTCTGTGGGAAGTTTTTGAACCAGGAGCAATTGTGAGTTATTTCCCAGTTTTTCTTTTTAAAAAAGAGATTATTGATAAATTATACATATTATCATGAACTCCTTTGACCAGAGTTCTAAATCACATTTGTATAATGATTGTCACTTTTAATCTAGAGCTAGCTGAGCTAGCTTTCAGACTAATATATAGAATGTTTTGAAAATTGTATTGCCTTTAAAAAAAAAATAGAACTTGGACCAGCTAGTTTTCATTCCAATGCTATAAAAAAATGAAGCTATTCTTCCTGTACCAGTCAGATCTGATTTGATGGTACACACACACAAAATAATAAAATTTAAAATTTTTTTTTAAATGAGGCTATTCTTAATATAAAATGTTTATGAACTCTTTTTCAGATGGGACATCTTACTCTGGAAGACTATCAGATCTGGAGTGTAAAAAATGTTCTTGCCAATGAATTTTTGAATCTCCTTTTCCAGGTATGTTTATGGTGAATGACAGCTACGACTGGTAGTAGTACCAATAGTTCTGTATCATTTTTCTTATCTAAAGGTTAAAGCAACTAGAACTTCTATATCATCTTGATCTTCTCTTAAGATCTAACCTTGACTCATTACTGCAAATCCATATATAATTATATTATAATAATACATAATTATTTATAATTATAAATATAAACCATATATCAGTATTCTGTATACCACCTAAAAGAGATAGATAGAGCTTGAGTGTCTGCTGACGTTTCTCAAGTCATGACATAGGCAATTGGAAAGCATAATGTGGTCAATTATGTTTGTAATAGAAACATTATATTTAGAAAGAAAAGCCAGGATCAAGTACTAAGTCATAGAGTTTGCCAGATTTTAACTATTTTACTGTAGTTTCCCTGCTGTATCACCAACACCCCTCCCCCCCTTTTTTTACTGTGATTTTTAACGAAAGGTAACAGAAAGAATGGGTTTTCATTCATTCATTCATTCATTGTTGCACATTTTCCTTCCCCCATCCCCAGTCCACTTTGCATTGCACCTCTTATTCCTGATTGTTATCATATATATAATGCCTAATCATGCGTTTCTTTCACACAGTTCTTTCCCTCAATTCAGCTGTAAATATGGGTGTACATGCATACATCTGTTTGAATCATGACTGATTTCTTTGGGGTATATTGCCACTAGTGGAATTGCTGAATCAAATGGTATTTCTATTTCCACATTTTTGAGAACATGCCAGACCACCTTCCTTAATGATTGTACCATTTAACACTCCCAGCAGTACTGAGTAAGAGTTCTAGTCCCTGTACAACCTTACCAGCATTTGTTCCAGCAGCCCAAGATGGCCACCAAACAGATGAGTTATATTATTGCTTACTTGGCTCCACATTCAACACTCTTGGCACCAGTGGTTAAAAAAAAAATCAAAAAATTAATTGCATTAGAACTTGAAGAAAGGGGAGTCAACTGGAGTCAGGGAGAGCCAAGGACCAGTGGGAGTCAGGGTAGCCACTTTGCTTCCCTATTGAACTTTGCTTTTGTTGCTGTGGTGAGATGATATAGTTGTTTTGATTTGCATCATTCTGATAGCTATGTTTACCATCTAAATTTCTTCTTTGATGAAGTGTCTATTCAGATATTTGCAGTACTTATATTCAACAAAAGATTTGTTAAATTTGTGTTTGTGACATATATACAATAAAATTCATTTAAGAGAAAAGCAGAATCCCAGTATAAAAGTATTCAAAAGGCTTAAATGGATACTTTATAAAAAAATACCAAAATAATAAATTTATGGAAAATTAACTAATTACCATGGGAGTGCTTATTTTTTCAATTTAGATTTTAATGGAAGTCTAAAAAGAAGTTGGATTTCCATTCATTTATTGTTGTACATTTTCCTCCCAGCCCATTCCCAGTTCACTTTTTCTTTAGGAAAAAGTTCTTTTGGTGGCCTAGTGGCAAGAAGCTGCACTGCAATCCCAGAGGTACATGATTCGAATCCACCAGATGCTCTCCCGGAGAAGGAGGAGCAATATCCTCCTGTACCAGTCAGATCTGATTTTACGGTACATGCACACAAAATAAAAAAAAAGTTCTTTCATTGTTCTATAGCCCCCCCTCCCCGACCATTTTACTATGCAGCTATTATTCTGGACTCTTGTCATACCAATAATATCTAATCATATATTCCTTTTATACAATTCCCTCCTTTGTCTGTTTCAATGCCGTGTACCTTATTTATCTCCTCTTTTCTTAGTTTCCCCCCAGCCCCCATGTCAGTCCTGTTTTATAACACTGGCATTATACAGTATTTGTCTTTTTGTGACTGAGATATTTCACTCAGCATAATTTCCTCCAATGTAACCCATTTTGTATAATATTTTATGAGTTCTTTATTTTTCAGTGCTGCATAATACAACTTTGTGTGAATGTACCAGCTCTCTATCCATTTGTTTGTTGATGGGCACTGGGTTTATTTCCAACTCTTTGCTATTGTGAACAAAGCAGCAGTAAACATGGGTGTGCATATATCTGCTTGGGTGATAGTTCTAGTTTCTTTAGGGTATATTCCCAATGGTGCAATTGCTGGGTCAAATGGTATTTCTATTTCCAACTTTTTGAGAAAATGCCGTACCTCCTTCCATAGTGGTTGCACCATTTTACACTGCCACCAACAGTGAATAAGGGTTCCAGTTTCTCTGCAACCTCACCAGCATTTGTTGTTTGCTGCTCTGTTAAATTTTCCTATTCTTACTGGGGTGAGAAGATAGTTGTTTTGGAGAATACTTATTAAGGCCATATTTGAAATACCAACTCACCAGATAATTATATATGTTACATAGGAAATATTGATGAGCATAATGAGCAGTTCAAACTCTTAGTCTTCTCAGTACTATCTGCCCTTCATTAAGGTTCTGAAGCTGTTATGTGGCATAGGAGGAGATTGCTCATCTTTCTCTTGAGGAGCATTGGTGGATTTGAACCATTGGAGAGATATGGCCTTTGACTTAGCAGCACAACACCCTATTGACTATGTCACCAAACACTTTTATCCATTAATCGTCATGTGCCAGGGAGTCTGAACGAAATGATAGCTAACCCTCCAGTGAGTTTTCTGAGGCAGTTAATTGAACAGGAGGAGAATGCCCGTCTGCAGATCAGCTGGTAGAGTCAAGCTGTTTGCCTTTGAGATTGAAGCACATCTTACCACTAGGCCACCAGAGCTCCCTTTATACACCGATAGGATAAACATAGATTGGTGGAACATATTATAATATTGTTTGACACTATTTCTAAAAGTTGCACAGGCTTATAGAAACTTTTTCATTTCTGTAGTAAAACACATACTAATATGCTCGCATAAGCATTTGTTATAGCCAAAAATAGAAAATAAGCCAAATACCTATCAACACTCGATGGATAGATAAATTGTGGCATATGCATAAATGAACCAATATTACACACAGCAACGTAAGTTAATTTTATAAGCATAGTACTGAGAGCCAGAAGTTCAGAAGCTGGTAAAACCAGCTTGGTCTATCAGATGGTGATAGACTTCAGATTAGTGAATACTTTGAAGGTGTGCAGTATTACAATGTAGGGACACACAGTGGGATTTCTGGAAAGCTACTGATGTTTCTTTCTTGACTGAGTGATGATCACAGAGCTGTATTTTCTTTGTGATCTCTACACATGACTGTGTACAGTTCTATTATACTTCAAAAAATTTTAATTTAAAAAATGAATATCCAAAGCCTGGTGTCCATCAGCTTGTCCTGACAATGGAAGACAAAATAATATATGTAAACAGTGAAATACTGGTCAGTAAAAAGAAATGGAGCTACTGAAAATCACTAGGTGTCTGAATCTCAAAAGTATTCCTTGTTATGTAAATGTACTCAAAGACAGGAAGTTCAAATTCAACTGTCAACCAAGAATACTGTACCCAGCAAAATTATCCATCAAATATGAAGGACAGATCAAGATATTCCCAGAAAAGCAAAACCTAAGA